ATAACTAATTGTACTAAATTATACTTTCTTAAATTCCATTATCTTTAAATTTATTTTTTCACGTTAACGATGAATTATTTTAGAAATAACTAATTGTACTAAATTATACTTTCTTAAATTCCATTATCTTTAAATTTATTTTTTCACGTTAACGATCAATCTTAATGAAAGATTCACTGATTTTACAGAAAACAAAGTATATACTTATTAACGAAAAACAGAAATACGAACTTATATCTCGCACGGGTGCCTTATCGCCCAACTCTCCCCGTATACCGGGCCATTTTTTACAATTCGTACGCAAAATTACTTATTCATAAAATAGCTGTAGTTTTTGAACTGTTGGTTTTTTGAAATAAAACTTTTAGTTTCTCTTTAAAAATTTGTTTCTTTATTTATTTTAAAAAAAAAATGTGTGTGTGTACTTATGTACGCACGTAATAAGTTGTACTTCTTTAGCGTACCAAAACAAGTATAATCTCAATAACCTCAAAAATAACTTAAGAAAAAAAATAACTTCGAAAAAAAACATCAACATCAAAAATAACTGCAACTATTCCGCGTGCCAATTAAATACATACTCTAAATTTGTCAATAAGACGATAAAATGATAAAATAAAATAAAGATATTTAATATAATTGATAAAGGTTTATATGTATATATATATTAAAATTCATAAGTATAATTTAATTTATTTATTTATACGTGAGGAAGAAGAAGGGTTTAATTAAAATAAGAAATAAGAAATAAAACCCTTGGTTGAGCCAATACAACAAGGTATAATACTTTATTGGCTCGTCAGGGAAAAGCCTTGTGGCATAAAAACCCTGGTTGATAAATTAGATATAATAAGGAATTGCGCCTAAGCAAAAATTGACCACGTGTCTCACCTCTCGCATAAAATCTCTGGTTGATAAATTAATTATAATAAGGAATTGCGTCTAATAGAAGATTGAACACGTGTGTCACCTCTCGTTTGCTTCGCTTGTATATGGATTCAACAACAAGGCTCACCATGTTTATGGAAGTATAAGGGATACTTATGATTTGCTTATTTCACTTCTAGCTTGTATCGCTTTGTTCGTCGGTTTCTTTGTTAATTCTTCGCTGGTTGTCTAAAACGTGTCGTCGTAGGTGTCCAGTGAAAGAATAGGACGAGTGTCTTTGTTGATGGACCCAGCAGGGCGTGCTTTACAACGGTTGGAAGAGTGGAGAGGCGCGATAACAACATTCCGATATTCTCAATATTCTCAGCAAGGAAAGAATTTTTTCATTTCAATATTCTCAAAATGATTCAGGCGCGTATTTCGAATATACGCTAAGAATCTACAATCTTTACGGATCGTACATAGATTGTTAACACATTGAATGCCACACGAATTCTGAAGGAAATCCTCGTCAGGCCATGTTCGTTATTTTTAGTATTGGATAAATGTAAAATAAATGCAAATAACTTCAAAAAATAACTTCAAATAACTTCAAATAACTTCAAAAAATAAAGACCAAACAAATAGAATATATAATTAGCAATAATATTAGTTTTTGCTGTGACATTTAAAGTATTTAAATTTGTACCGGTAATCACAGGCTGAGCCGATGGTTCGTAAAGTAAATTAGAAGTTGACGGAATACATAAAATTTCATTTGCAGACAATTCATGTCCTAGTGCAATCATTTTTCTTCGCAACCTACAACGTTCCGCATTAATTTGCGTTTTGTTTTCCTTTTTCTTTTTCCTACGAAGACAATATTCTTTACATTTCTCTGCATTAGTTTTAAGCTTCTCGAAAACTTAAACAGAAATTTAAATGTATACTGATCCTGGTCGAAAATATCAAAATATAGAAATCAGTCCACACTTAATATAAGGGAGTTATATCAAATAAGTTCATGCGTCAACGGGCATGACGCAGTGACAGCACTAGTTCCTGCTCGATCATTATAAGTCAAGCAGCGCTTGAGTACGATTAGAACTTGAATGGGTGACCGCTTGAGAAAAATTTGAAATCGCTTTGCCCGCGCATCGTAAATATCCGACAACTTCGTGGTGTCGATTTTTCGGTCGCATCTAACTTCAGTTTAGAAAACGCGCCAAAAAAAGTATAACTTCAAAAAATAGAAATACTTTATTATAAATTAAAAACTAAGAAAATCAAGAATTTAAAAATATTTTATAGTGTGATATCTTTCAAAGCATTTTCCTTTGTGCAAGGGTACATTATAAAATTTACACTTATACTGCGTTACACTGCGTATTTTTTTAACGGAGCTCACAAGACATTATTGTAATACATTTTTATTTCTTCCAGTTTCCACTATTGATTCTAATACATGTTTCTTCATGTCCATAGAAAGTCTGCCCGGAGGGTGGTCTTTTGCAGCTTTTTTTCTAATGCCAGCTGTTGATGGTATTTGTTCTTCTGAGTCTGGATCAGATTCTGGTACAATTTCATCAGTAAGCCAAAGAACAGCAACGAGTTTCAAAAAATTTTTGTACCTTATTTTTTTTTCCTTCACGGAAATGAACAACAAATGAGTTTAATAATGTGCAATTTATAAGGTACAAAGCAATTTTTTGTCCATATGATTGTTTGTCTTAGAATGCAGTAATATGAGAAATATTGGTAAGCCTGATCAACACCTTTCACATACTTATCGTAGTCAATCAGCGCGTTAGGTTTCACTATTTTTTCCTTTGTTTTTCTATCAATAGTTTTTACTTTCTTTCATTTCACATGAATGTATTGTCAATATGAGATACACTGTTTTCTTTGATTACCATACTTGTACTAAAATGTCTCATTTTTATCTGAAGGCCATTTCTCCTTTTGTCAAAGAAATGGTTTCTAGACAATCAAGAAATCCTCTAGTTTTTCAAATAGTGCCGCAAATTCTAATTTTATTTTGTAATAGCTTTTCAGTATTTTCCACGCTATTATAATAATTATCCATGTAGATACGGTGCCACAAGTCTATATAAGGTGATACAACTGTTTCAATTGTTTCTATCAATTGTTTTCTTTGAGCACAATAAATTTCGAAATGACACATGTAGCCTGTAGTACTTTCGCACAGTATACGAACTAGAATTCCATATTTTATAATCATCGTTACATTGTAAATTCTAAAGAATAACCTCCTCCTCCACGGTATTATTCCTTAATCCAAATAAAAATGCTGAATAGGCTTATAAATATTTATAAACTTGAGAACAAAGTAATTCAGTAGTGGTCTGACTTTCGAAAGCCTGTCTGATTCATCAGTCAACTCTTCATTATTATTAAATGCCAAGCTTTCCATAACATACGAAATCTGTCTCTTGTCATTATTTTCGGAAAAATTGGCGTTTCTATACACGGATCCGTGCTCTAATAATCCTCTCTTCGGTACTTACGCATTTCTCCCATAAGAAGAATAAGCCCCAAAAATTTCTTCATGTCTTGTATCGTAATGTCTTTCCATTTGAGGGCTTTCTTGAAAGTTGTGAATTTATCAATATTTTGGTAATAATATCTATTTGACTCCTCTACAAGAGGAATGTAAAAAAATCATCGCCAATAAATAAAGCTACAGCATCCGCTATACTATCCGGAAAGTTCTCTGTATTTATTACTGAGCGACCTAAAAACTCTTCCAAGACTGAGGGTTTGTCTACTAATTACCATTCTTCTTGAGAAACAGAATCATCCGAATCTAAGCTTGAATCAGAACTGCTTGAAATTCTTAGTCGAATAGTAGTTCTAGAACGATACATAATATTGTCACTAGAATCATCATCGATACTCTTGTTATCGCAATTCGATAAACTATCTGCACACAATTCTATATCATCATATTCTATTTTATCGTCGTCCATCCTTAGGAAATTAGTGTAAAAAAAGTCAAATTATGCTTGAAACACATCAGCGCTAAATAGAATAGATACTCCTAGCAATAAAGTACATTTATACGGACGCACTTGTTGCGACATAATAATTATAAGTGAATTTAAGGACACTGCTGTTATCATTCGAAGCGTGTGCAATAAGCTGTGAAGTCGAATTACTCCAAAACACTATTTATTAGTTCAGTGATTTTCTCAGTAGTAGGGGGGGAGGGGGGGGGTAATCACTACTATCCAGATTGGTGGAATCTGCGTATTTAGGAAGTGGTGAGACGAAAGAGTGAGTTCATATCAAGGGAAGAACGCAAAGAATAAAAGTTACTCCTAGAAACCTCTCGTAAGACGAAATGGCAGAACATAATGGTACAGGTACCACCTATAAACTCCTTATACTAGCTTTGAAAAACGACGAAGTGATCGAGAGGAGCAACACGTGTACAACATTTGAGTGGATACTGTTAATTCTTGTAATCTTACATAGTTAATCAAGGATTTTTATGCCGTAAGGCTTTTCCCTGACGAACCAATAAAGTTTTTCTGTACCTATTTGCTCAATCACATCTTTTATTTTTTATTTTAATTTAACCCTTATCTTCCTCATCACTAGCTCTTTACAATTACTAGAAGACTCCATATTAAAGAAATCTACGTTCATACAAGTTCAGTTGCTTTTAATTAGTCATTAGGTTGAGTTGCAAGAGGACTTATACAGAATCGCTAAAAGCTACATAAGACTTTTACCAAAAAGCACAAAGTTGTACAAGTTATATTACAAGCTGAGATTTCAATTAATAATTCAAAAGGAGTTAGATAATAGTGCTGTTGAGATGTGTACATTGTCTATTGCAAGGTTAAATGTATGTGCTGTAGCGCAAAAGTATGTGTTGGTGTGCTACTGTTCGTGAGAGAGACGCACACATGTAAGTCTCCCCATTTTAGTCCATGTAAGATTAGTATATAAGGGACAGCGATTAGCTGTATAGGGCTCTCTGTTAGAARAATTACWTAGTTAAAGTAAAAGTAATAGCACGTGGCACGGAAGAACTTGTAATAGATATAATATATAGATTTATTAAACTTTTACCACCCATATTATAAGATATTTTTCCTCATTAATTTAACAAGTGCCAATAGGTCACTAGAAATCGTTTGCAGTTACACGTAAAATAACACAAGATCATTACACATTATATAAGCTCTTATAGAGTACAATTGAAGATTTAAGTATTTTACTAAATTTATGTGAAACGTATTCAGTAGCTTTGTGTACGTTTATAATGCAGTTAAAAACTGTTAAATATAAATAATGATTTCAATTGTTCTGTTTATCATTCACACATATTTTTTTAAATAGTTCTTAAATATCTGGTGGCTTCTTTCAAAGTAAACGTTACTTTCAAGAAGAATCGTTGTGATAGTAACACATGTGGAATTCGGATAATTTTAACTTTTTCAAAGCTCTTCATAAAATGTAATAATATTATTTTAAGTACTCCGTGGCGATGACATTAGATAAATGCAAGGACAACTACTCTTTCTTCATGAGATATTTCCAGATATTTAGGATTCGTTTATGAATTGTAACAAGTGGTTATCCTTAGTAAGAGCTCGATCGAAAAAAACTTGTTACGTGAACACTCTCAGCTGTATAAATTAAGAAACCAGATTGCATCAGACGTTCCTTCATGAGTGTACACCAGTATATATAAAAAATATAGAAATGACTTATTATAAAAGAATAAAGCATTATCTTGGACTTCGAAAAGTAAAGTGAACAAAATTACTTTTACTTATAATTATTGTCATCATGATGGCAGTTTATCAGTCATCATATAATAACTCTGAAAAAAATCGGATAAAATATAGAAAAATTTCACAAAGAAATAAAAAACATTCTTACTTTTCTTGCGATTTCCATAAGTTCATTTGCCATTGTAGAACCAGTTTGCTGTACTATATGATAAAAGTAACTCTTATTTTGTAACAAAATGTAAGGATGGTCGAATTCCTAAGTAAAAAATATTTGTTTTAAATTAAAAAAACAGAAGTTAAATTTCAAATCAAAATTGTTTTGATGCTTACCATTAAACGGCCAGTATCCATTACAAGTATCTTATCACTATCCATAATCGTATTTAATCTGTGAGCTATCGTAAGGACTGAGCAATCTTTAAATTTATTTCTAACAGTTTGTTGAATTAGCAAGTCTGTACGAAGATCAACGTTTGCCGTTGCTTCGTCCAAAACGATGATTTTATTGTTTCTAATAATAGCACGAGCCAAACATAATAATTGACGTTGTCCAACACTTAAATTCATTCCTCCTTCGAACACTGGAGAATTTAGACCAGCAACCATCTCTTCGACTATTTGTTTTAACTCAACTTCCTGTAAGGCTTGCCAGAGTATATGATCAGAATACTCTTCAAAAGGATCCAAATTTTGCCGAAGACTACCACTAAACAGAATTGGTTCTTGAGGAATAATACTAATTTTTGAACGAAAATCATGCAAACCTATTGTGTTGATAGGAATACCATCAATAAAAATTTCCCCTTCCACGCTAGATAATTGAAAAAGGGCATTGATCAAAGACGATTTTCCGGAACCAGTACGACCAACGATACCAATCTTTTCTTTTGGAATTATTGTGAATGTTATATCCTTTAGAATGTATGGTTCCATCGGTCCATATTTTAGTTTTACGTTTTTAAATTCGACATGTCCGTATTTAGGCCAATCTTTCGGTGATTTGCATTTCGGATTACTTTCCAACATTGGTTCTTCTTTTAAATGACTATACTCGAGAACTCTCTCGACCGAAGTCATCAAATTTTCGACTTCAACCGTCTGTCTTACCCCCCATTGTAACATGTCAACAAGCAGAGACATTTGAGTGATCACCAATCCAACATCACTGACTACAGTATCCTTCAAAAAGAGGAAGAATATAATTATAATCGCATTGTACACCAAAGAGACAAGTTCGATGTAAATGCCAAAAGCTCGTGAAGCTGAAAAGAAGATAAACCAAGCAGAGGAATGCAGATCTTGATGACTATCAAATTCTCTGATAAGAATTTTTTCAGCGTTTAATGCTCTAATGGTCGACAAGCCTTGAAGCGTTGCGCTTACGTGATCGAATACCGGTGATCGAGCTTTTACAAAAAAGAACATAAATAACTAGTTAAGAAGAAAACTTAAATATTAGCATTATATTACACAAAATACTTACTTATTCCTTCTAATCGTTTAACGCTACGACTGGTCGACAAATAAAAATCTCTTAAAAAATATATAATTATGCCAATAAAAATGACAGGTATCAGCAGCCAAGGATTTATGTTTCCTACTATTACTATTATCGCTATCAATCCAATACCAATAATTATAATATCAAACATACAAATAGGCATTCGTGTGTCAAGGGCACCAGTATCTTTGGAGAATCTGAAAGAAAACTAGAAATTTATAAATGTTGGAAAAAGAATAATTAGCAAATTTACCTATTCAAGATACGACCAATTGGATTGTTATGGAAAAAATGCATGCTTGTTCGTACAATGCTTCGAAACATGTTGTCGTGTAAATTTCTGGAAGAACGCATGCAGATTTCATAGTAAGAAAACATTTGCAAGAAGGCGGCTGTTGCTGTCAATGCAGTTAGTCCACTATAAATGTAAATTACTTCCGTTCGATTAAACGATCCTTTCCAATCAAATAAAACCGTATTATTTCCCAAGATGATCCAGGAATTTTCTTCGATGTTAACCCAATAAGCGACAAAGAAATCGCCACCACTAGCAGCCATTTGATAAGAAATGAATAATACGATCATCAGTAGCAATAATAAAGGACTCCTGCTCGCCTTGAAATAAGAGATGTAAACCTTAGCCGACACATGTCCAGTTGTTCTCATCTCTATCACTTCAATAGGTGCCAATTTTTTTAACGATATTTCATTCATGTTTTCACTCGATAAACCTCTCGAATCTTTAATCTTTCCTTCTTTTATAGATTCTTCTTTTTTTTCTAACTCCTTTTCCCCCATCAAAAACTTCGTGAAATCAACACCAGAAGCTTCAAGCATATTAAAATCACCTCGGGTCTGAATTGAACCATTCTGCATTGCGATTACTTGATCAGCAGACTTTAGAAATTGAAGCTGATGCGTCACTAAAATTCTAGTCTTGTCTTTCAGATATCCACATATACAATCTTCAAGGATACGTCTACTTACTCGAGCGTCAACCGCTGAAAGTGGATCATCTAATAAATAAATGTCCGCATTAGCATAAACTGCTCTAGCGAGATTGATACGAGCACGTTGACCACCGCTTAAACTTATTCCTCTTTCGCCAACGATCGTTTTATCACCGTGAGGAAACGAAGCAATGTCCTCGTTTAATTGGCAGACTTGAATAGTTTTCTTGTAACGAGATTTATCCATAATATGACCAAAGAGTATGTTCTGTCTGATTGACGAAGCGAAAATCCATGGCTGTTGGCTAACATAAGCGACTTTACCACTGATTTTCAAAAAGCCTTCCTGCACTGGCAATTCTTCTAATATAATTTGTAGTAAACTGCTTTTTCCAGAACCTACTTGTCCAACGATTGCAACTAGACTAGCAGGTTCAATGGATAAATTTATTCTGGTTAGAGTATTCTCTTTGTTTTCATCATTCCATTTTGCAGTTACATTCTTCAATATCACTTCATGTGATCTAATATCTTGAGCCTTATTCTCGCTTTTCTCAATTTCTATGTGCATCATAAATCTTTCGAAACGACGTATTGATGCCAAACCTTCGACTAGTTGATGAATGCCTATGATCAAACCATATTATAAATTCGTAAATTATCTTTATTCTCCTTATTTTTATAAAAATAACAAATGTCTTTACTTAAAGAAAACCCAATAGTCATAGAATTTCTAACGATGTTAAAGAACGACGTTATCGTGAAGACTTGTTCTGCGGTAATGTAATTACCGGTAACAACGTACGTCATAATCGAGATGAACAGGCAGATTCGCGGTATATAAGAATCGAATGTCATTCCAATCTGTTGGACAATGGAGTATTTCTTTATCATGTTCATTTCCTTCCTACATAAAGAAACAATTACTGTAATGAAATATAATTTAAAAAATATTTTCCTGACTTTGATGAACGAATATATAGGGTGATTCACTAACTTTTGCCACCAAGATAGCTCCGAAAGTATGATAGTAGCAAAAAAATGTATACAACGAAAGTTTTATAAAAAATTCGAAAGTATAATATGACGTCAGCTTTTTTTTTGCTAGGTTTAGTCGCTTTTGAGATTTAAAGGACAAGTTTGTTTTACTTTCTGATAACGGCTGTCATAGCAAATCCAATGATGCGCAACATTAAGGTCTTTGAAGATCAACGAAGGTCAAGTCTGGCGGACCAGCGAGTCACGCGACAACTCCTCCGCGTCGTGCTTGCGTCAGGGTTGCGTCATCCTCGCGGGGGTGAAAGAGAGAGAGTGAATGATGATGAGCGGATGAGGGTGGGACCGAGTAGGAGACTGGTTCCTGCTCGGCCCCCTCGGGCGAGGCTTCGGACGACCCGGGCGGCGCCTTGACCGCATGTAGGGGGTGGAGTTTAATCCTAAGGTTACTTTTAAGTAGTATAAGTGCACATATGCTTATGTGCTTGCATGTTTAGCATGTCGGCTGTAAATATATATATCGTGTGAACCTAGTTTCTAAGATATATATTGTGTTGTGACAGTGTGAGTGCTGATATGGATGAATGCTAGGCGAAGCTGTCTGGCTAGTCCTGGAGGGGTGAGGCGTGAATTGCGCAATGAAACGCGGACCCACCCACCCCTCGCGCGTGAGGGATGGATGAATGTATGCGGGTGGTTTTTAGCCGGTAGGAATCCGGCATTCTCTTAGGTACCGGGCCTAGGGCGCCTATGCAAGGTTTTCCACCTGACGAGCAAACAAAAAAAAAGGGTTGCGTCATCCTTTAGGTGTTTGACAAAGGATGGAACAGACATGGTCCGAATAATTTTTATTTGTTATTGTCAAGTCTTGTATTTCATGTTGCATATCGTTGGATTCGCCAACGCCAGCCGCTATCAGAAAATAAGTACCAAAACATAGCATTCCATTTGAAAAAGTAAACTTGACCATTAAATATCAGAAGCGACTAAACCTAGCAAAAAAACTGACATCATATTATACTTCCAAATTTTTCACGCACCTTTTGTTTTATAAACTTTTCTGCTACTATCATACTTTCGGAACTACCTTGGTGGCAAGAGTTAGTAAATCACCCTGTATATTTACATATATGTATGACAACATTATTTAAGATAAACAATAAATATTAAGAACTTTTTAAACGATCATGATCGATACACCGCTTACTTCCGGTTTTTCTCGACGATTCGTGAAAACGGTATTTCCCAAACATACATTTTTATAATCTGTACACCAGTAATCAGCTCATTCATTAAACGCAATCTTTCATCTGTTCTTAGAGCTGACAATAGCATCAGCATAGACGCTTTCTTTCCAATATACCCTAAAACGATAGAATATCATTGTCCTAAATATGATCATTTTCTAATTGTCTCTAAGAGAAAAACGTACTCACATTGAAGGGGAATAAAAATTAAAAACAAGGCTAAACCTGCAACTGGAGCTAGTCCCAACTGCCAATAGAGCACACAGGCAATGATTAAAGTTTGGACTGGACCGATCCACAAATAATGAATACTGTGTGTTATGTAATCTAATCTATTAGCATCATTACTCATAAGATTAACCATCTGAAAAATTTATTATACTTTATGTTACCGATATTGTATATCTTATGTTTTATAAGTTATTATATTAATTTAATTAATTGCCTGATTTGATCATTTAAATAATTTTGCGGATATATCATTATTATTTATACTTTCAAATTATATTACACAAACAATTAATTGTGTACAATATTATAACATAACTTTATATTGTATTATATATTTATTAATTGAATATTATATTAACTATAGTCAATTCCGCCTAGTAAATACCTAGCTGGTCACAAGCCCAGATAAAGAAGGAGGGTTCGAGGGTAAGGCTAGCAACCTACCCTCGGTAAAAAACAATAAAAATGCTCCTGAAACTAGCAATAAAGCCTCAGACAGGACGGAAATAATTACTCAAGAGTAAAAATAATGAATTATTTCGTATCTCGACATAAAATTAATTTGTATAATTAATTGATATAAATTTAATAATATTTATAAAAATGAATTAAAATTATGTCTAGACAAAAAATAAATTCCACGTTTTTAGAACATCTTTTCCTGTATATTTTGAATTAATTTTATGTGTACATATAAAATTCTTCTTTTTCAAATATGTATTCAATTTGATACACAAATATATATTTACGAGACAACAAATCTTTAATTTAAAATTTCCTAAAATACATAATTTGTTGACTAAATAATAATAGTTTCCGTTAAAATGAATTATTGTTTTTCTTTTAATCAAGGTTCACTATCTTTGACAATAAATAAAAAATCGGAGTACCATAAGCATCAAGATTCGATTTAAAAATGCCGCGCTTATACGTCGATATATATAGATATACATAACCCTCAACAATCGATGGCCAGAAGAAAAATAATCGCTATCACATGAACAAATAGAAAGAGAGAAATATCCATTTCTTTTCTCACTCGCACTCGCATTCACGACCGAGAGACCCCAAGATAACGCACACTAGCTCACTCGCGTGTAAAGACCAACGAAGAGGCGTGGCTTGCCACCACTCTTACAATTACCTTTCACTTTTATTTTCTCGCTTATTTTTGCAAATACGAAGATACACCTTACAACATTTTTTATGTATTTTTCAATTTTGCACAACTTTTGTTTAAAACTTTTTTCGATTAAATGCCTAGATTCTAAAATACGGCCGTTTTTTACCCTTTTTTACCTTTTTTCTCGGAGTTGCGCCATCCAATTGCAAAAAAATTTGCACCATTCGATTCAACGTCGTCGAATTACCATAAATATCCAATTTGTACTTTTTTAACTCTCCGGGTACTTATTTGCCCTTTATTGACTGGCCAATAGGGTCCAAATACATCAGCGACAGGATAGTACAAGTAACACTACAGCTCCAGAAGAAGACAACGAAACACATAATCAGTATACATGCTTCAGATATCACTAAACCACAAAAAGAGAAAGAGGAATTTTACGATCTGCTGCAAGCGCATCTAGACAACATCCCTAGACGAGACGAGACTGTAATATTCGGGGACTTTAATGCAAGGATCGACAACAGGGTAGTAAAAAGAATTAAAAATCATTTCAACGAGAACACCTTGAATGACAACGGGGACATGCTGATTAACTTCTGCGCCATGAATGAACTACGGATCAACAAAACATTCTACCCACATACACCGCAACATAAATTCACCTTCGAAAACACCAAAGGACAAAAATCGATAATAGACTACATAATAACTAATAGGAACACAAAAATACTGGACATCAGTGTTTTAACGTCAGCAAATACAGACACTAATCACAACCTGGTACTTGCGAAAATAAGAAAAACCACACTTAACACCAAAACGAAGCCGAAAGGAAAACAAACAACAACAGAAAAACTAAATATAGAATTGTTAGGCGATGAATCGACAAAAAACCTGTACCAAAGACGACTAGAGAAAAAAATAGTGGGAAACAAAATTCTAGAAATAGACAACGTAGAGACGGCATGGCAAAAGATCAAAACAAACATCAAAGAAGCAACAGAAGGAAGCCCTTGGCAAAAAAAAATGCAACTCTATCGGAAGACGGAGTAACACTCCCTGGTTCGAGGAAGAAGTAAGGACCTTAGCAGAAGAAAAAAGGTACGTCCACATACAGTACCGAAGTAATATAACAGCATACGACGATTACCGAAGAACTAGAAACAAGGTGAACGAAACAATTAGACAAATCAAACGGGATTACTAGGAGAAATTCTCGACTGACATGGAACACAACCTATACGGACCACAGAAAAAAATATAGAACATGCTACGAAACCGAAGAAAACATGTAAACGTTTAGACCGCATCCGTGCAGACCGCCAAAACCACAACGAATGAATAGGAAAAATATTTCTTAAAGCTGTATAAGGATAGAACGAAAGAGACTTACAATATATGCAAGAAAGAGGAAGAGGAGCCACTAAGCGATTACACTATATCGTCTGAAGAAGTTCAAAGAACAATGGACAAACGAAAAAACCGTAAAACACCAGGAATAAATGAAATAACAAACGAACTAAAAAATAAGGGGGAAGATCACTAACAGAGAAACAAAGTACCCTATTCGATAAAATTTTTAAAACACAAAAGTACCAACTCATTGGAAGGGAAACATAACAATTCCCATATTTAAAAAAGGAACCAAGACAGAACCAAAGAATTTCCGCGAAATCAGTCTGCTAAGTGCAGTACAGAAAGTGATAACGAAAATCTTGGCAAAGGTAATAAAGCGGACAGGAATAAGCGAAAAACAACAAGGCTTCAGACAAATTAGATCGATGGTGGATGTAATATTCATACTACGATAGATAAATAGCTGAAAAAGCTATAGAATTCAACAAACCGATTGTTGCGTCGGTACGCAACGTTTAAAAACTATAGATATATCGAACAAAGGGCTATCTGAGGTATCGGTGCAACGGTCCTTTCGTGCTTCGGACCGTTGGGTCGGTGTTTACTTACTAAGTAAACACTCGGCGCCGCCGTGTCTGGTGAATTTCTTTATTTCAATGCGTTCCTACTGATGCGTCATCTCCACGTCTACGGCCTTTATACATTTTATTCATGTGAGACTATAACATAAAGACTTTTTCTCCTATTGGCTAATGGGCGCAGAGAAGGGATGACGAGCATTCCCTAAATATAAGAGGCCGTGCCGCCCCGCACATCATTATTACAAGAACATACATCCTAACGAATTATTCAATATATCGTAACCGAACGATACAGAAGATCACGACAGAACGAAAGAACTTAACGTAACGAGAAGAAGAACGCATCGGAACAAAACGACGCTGCATAACAGCGAGATAGCACACGAGCATCTCCACGGCACATCACGAAGCAACGAAACCGAAGCCAGCGCATCGTAGGATTCCGACAACAGCGAAATACAACGCAGCAACAATCGAGAACACGAACATCACAGCATCTTACCGATAAATAAAAAGCGTATTACCGATCAAGGGCACCGGTACCTCAACATATTTTTTGGTCCTTCGAGCCGGATACACGATCCTATCGAGGCATCGTCAGCAAATACAGTCCACTTCAAGCAGATGAGAAAGAGAACGTGGAAGTTTCCAATCCTATCAGCGTCAAGACTCAACCTGGAAGCGTGAAACCGTCACCACAGGGAAGCAACAAAGCGAGCATAGGGCGTCCTGGAAAGCGTGCATAGAATCACCACAGGAAATCAATACAGCCTGGAAGCGTGCAGTACATCACCACAGGACAGTCAACATAAAACACGTGAGTTTTGAGCAATACTTTTTATCGAGTCACCAATTTGTGAAATACTTCCTCTCTTATCTCTCCCGAATCGTGCCTTTTTATTGTGAAAATGCATTCCTCAATGAGCGAAATTAGTGAATCGAAACTTATACGTAGACGCGCAGTACTAAAAAGTAAATTAATCAGTTTTAAGAAACTCATCAATGGTTTAGACAATCCTAATCAGGATGATATATCAATGGTCATGCTAAAATTAAAGGATATCGATTCAGATATGTTAGCATTGGAAAACATTCAAAACGAATTAGTAGAAAGAGCTTCCGACGAATCGGTTGAAGATCGTATCCAAGAAGGTGAAGATTATCGCGATGCCGCTCTTAGCGCGAAAATAAAGGCGGAGAGAATAGTAGCAAAATTCAAAGAAGTAACAATTCAAACCACCGATTCGCCCGTATCGCTATCCACCGTGAATGCCTCTTCATTTGCGAATAATACTCCAAATAACGACAATATTTTGAAATTACCAGCGATGCGTCTGCCACAATTCGACGGGCGGTTCGAAGACTGGGCTCCTTGGAGATAGTGAGTGATTCGGTCTTCTGTATCGAAATAGTTATGTTGAGTTTGCCTGCCGTCTTTTCGAATTTGTACAACATCCTTTGTAAGTCGTCTTCGTCTTCCGACATGATGATTGCATCGCTGGCGTAGCATATTATTTTTCTTTTTTCTTTTTCTAACTTGATTCCTTCTCCAGCTGTTTCCACCTTCTTTATTATTTTGTCTATGATCAGGTTGAAAAAGATCGGGCTTAGACTGTCGCCCTGTCTGATCCCACTTGGTATCAGGATCTTTTTCGTTGTCATATTTCCAGCTCTTATCTTAGTTGTATTGTTGGTATTTAGTTCCTTTATTATTTGTCTTATGACGCAGTTTACTCCTCTGGCCCTCAGGATCTGTAGTACGTCCCCAAGCTTCACTTTGTCAAATGCTTGCTGGAGTTCAACGAAGCATATATATATATCGGTTTGTTGAATTCTATAGCTTTTTCAGCTATTTATCTATCGTAGTATGAATATTACATCCACCACCGATCTATTTTGTCTGAAGCCCTGTTGAAATTCTTCTTATATTAATAAGCAGATTAACATCGAATAAATTCGTCCAATATTTATTATTTTCCTTTCTTTCTATCACTATTTAATCCTTGGAAAAGTGAACCTGCCTGATCTAAGCTAATCTCGGTGAATGCAGAGTGGCTAAAACAGGCTTAGTAAAATTTCTTTAAAACTTCATTTTTTGGGACGTAACATTAATATTGTTATTGTCCATTTCGTCTTTAAATAAATTTTCAGCCTATTTTATGTCTAATAAACTAACTTAAAAGAAGAAAAACTATAATATTTCTTACTTGTCCAGCCGATGTTCCATCTATAAAAACAGAGTTGGACAATTTGAGTATTTTTCTATAAATCAAAGAGCAACAGGCTACTTTTATTCTCATTCCAATATGCATTAGTTCTTGCAAAGTTAAATGGACAATGAAACAGTCCATGAAGGGAAACAAGATGAACGCAGCAGCGTAATAATACATTCCTGGATTTACTTCTTTTTTTGTGCTTAAGAGATGCAACAAATTTCTGAGTATCAATGGTTGAATTATTCTGAAAACGTTTAACATAATTGTCATTGATGTCAGAAAACAAAGAAAAAATTTATCTCACAATGTAAATATTTTACTTAAAATTTGTTACTTTACGATTGCAATTACGAAACGATAACACTAAATTATTAACTTGACAAAATATTTATTTAATGTTTTCCCACCTGCTAACAAACTCCATAAATGCTAAAGCTATACCAAGCAACATAATACTTTTTCCAAAACATTTTATCAATATTATGTACAATCGTGGTACAGATCCGTCATTTTTCTTTCGACATTTTCTTTCTTCATCTTCCCAAATTTTAAAAATGCGATCTCCCAGAAGATTACTTTGATCCTCTTTCAATGGCGAATATAGATCAGTCTCTTGCAACTCTCTTTTATATCCAAGTAAAAAAGTGTTTAGTATCCACCTGAAACACATTTTATATTTTATAATTAAGACTAAGTAATAAAAATAAAAATTACGAATAAATAATAATATTAATAATATCGCAATGATATTCAACAACACAATAAAAAACATGTAAAACTTAAATTTGTACCAGCTTTTTTAAGTTGTTTTGCATTACTTATAAAATTATTTAAATGCTCCACATTGTTGATTAAGTTCTTTCCTTGGATAATATAATTTATAGCAGGCATGTCATACACACGACTTGCCGAGACTTTCTTAAAACTTTTTAAAAAAATATTAAATATTTTAAAGTAAAATTTATTTTTATTTGTATGCAGTTTAGAAATGCAGTTGCAGTATGCAGTTAAAATTTTACATTTTAATAATTTTTAATTTAGTGATTAAAAAAAAGAGAAAATATAGGTTTAAATTAAATTGAATATATATATAAATCTCATTTGTGTGAATTTACGATTAAGCAAATACTTTGCATGGACGATGGTGCGGAAGAAAGTGCGACAGTACTTTTTTATTTGATGCTTGACACTGGTGATTCGAGAAAAAGGTTCAAATTTTTCAACTTTAAATGTCAAATCTTCATATTAATTTAATAAATATGGGTTTTTAACTAGATAATCTTTTATGATTTATGTAAAAAAAATTGTAAAATAAATTTTGGAATTGAGTTAAAAAATTCTGAAAATATAAATTAATTTATAATTGCAAGTTATATATATTATATTACTCTATTTTCTATAGTACGAGTAAATTTTTGTGTGTAAGGTTTTATATAATGATTTATGTTTTATTATGGTGTTATGTTTGTTATATTAAATACTTTATCTAAGGAAATTAGATTAAAAAAATTAGATTAAAGAAAAAAATGCTTAGGAAAAGTAAAGTTGAAAATATGTATGTAAATTTTAATCTTTCAAATTTCTGTTAGGAATAATTTTGGATATTTATAAGTAACTTACATTTTCAAGTTATTTTCAGTATTTATGGCAAATAAATATTAAAAATTGCTACAGCTAAATGTATTTAACCAAATTTTGATTACTTGCTTCGTGAAAAGTAATGTCAAATGACATCTAAAAGATAATATTAAGCTGTGATTTTGTTTATTTCTTATTATAACTTTGATTTTTGTTTTTTATAAAACATATAGAATATTTATAATTTAAGCTATAAAAATAACATAAAATATAAATATATAAGTTTCAAAGGGAATTATAGACGGTTAATAAATCTGATGAACAATTTATTTTGAACTAGTTGTACGTTTCGTCCCTTACTGGGGACTTCATCAGCAACTTGATCATTTACAGTTCACGCGTCAATACATATTATCTTTTTATATAAATATATTTATATCTATATATATATAAATATATATATATAGATATGTAGTAACAGGTGTGGGGGCAGCGAAACAAAAGGTTAATGGTAGATTTTGTTAGTACGAATATTGTGAAACTATCAGTATGACAAAAACGGATAAACACTTCTTAAAAATAAAAGGAATTATAAAATCAAAAGGAACGTCTTAAAGGCTAATAAGTAAAAATAACGTCTTATACAGCTAGAAAATATACGACGTAAATGACTTAGCAAAATAACAACTTAAACGACTTAGCAAAATAACGACTTTACGACTTAGGCCAGTCAATACAAGGCAAATGAGAACTTTTCAGGTCTACCGCACTTACAATTTGATACAATGGTAATTTGACGACGCTGAATCGAATGGTGCTAATTTTTTTGCAATTGGATCAGGAGATCTTTGAGAAAAAGGGTAAAAAAGGGTAAAAAAGCCATATCTTAGAATCTAGGCATTTAATCGAAAAAAGTTTCAAACAAAAGTTGTAGATAATTAAAAAGTACATAAAAAATGTTGTAAGGTGTATCTTCGTATTTGCAAAAATAAGCGAAAAAATGAAGGTGAAAGGTAATTGTAAGAGAGGGGGCAAGCCATGCCTCTTCGTTGGTTTTTACAGGCGAGCGAACTAGTGTGCGTTATCTTGGGGTCTCTCGGTCGTGAATGCGAGTCGAGTGAGAAAAGAAATGGATATTTCTCTCCTTCTATTTGTTCATGCGATAGCGATTATTTTTCTTTTGGCCATCGATTTTTGAGCGTTCTGTATTATATATCTATGATATTTTTTCATGCTGTAGCGAGAATTTTTCGTCTTGACCATCGAATGTCGAGCGTTCTGTATATCTATATATATCGGCGTATAAGCGCGGCATTTTTAAATCGAATCTTGATGCTTATGGTATTTTTTACTATATTGAATAATGATATATTTTTATATTAAAAAAATAAAATGTTAACTGTAATTCTAGTAATAAATCTTCCTTTATATGCGCAAAATAATAAACATTTTATTGTTC